CCTGCGTATTGCGAGCAGATTGCAATTAGGGTATGCAAAAATACGTCAGTGCACTGTCCTGGGCACGCTTACGAGAGTCAGCGTGGTTCGATGCGCCATAGCGTCGGTGAGCGTCGGTAAAGCGTGGCCGTGGCAAAGCGCTCGCGCCAAGCAAGCAAGCGTGAGTGCAGGTGAGCGCACGCCACGCAGCGTGGTGAGTGCACGCAGGCGTTAACGCCCGCGGCGTGCGAGCACGCAAATGCGATGGAGCAACATGTCGAGCGACAAGTGTCAGAATGTGCGAGTTGCGAGCGAGCGTATGTGAGGAGCACGCAAAGCACGAACTCCTACATTCACGCACACGTGCGGCGGTGCTCAGCAAGAGATTGGTGAGGCAGCATTTCTGGAACGCCTGGTAGTGGCGTGAGTTTCAGAGAGGAGAAATGGGCAGCATTCATTTTTGACGGTGGTAAAAGATTCCACATTCCCATGAAAGATCCAGTACTTTCATGGGGTATAAATAACTACAAAGTGCAAATACATCTCCTGCATGTATCTGTCCCTCCACAGAAAAATAAATATAGAAGAAATATTCTTTATGCTTCCCATAAACCACAAGGCCTTCTGAGAGTGCATAATTTCAGCAGATTGTGTTCACTACATGCAACCTCTAAACCGGCTTTGACATACACTGTCTCATCCGCAGAGCCAAGCATGCTTGAACCGCTAAAGCTGCTCGACATTTCAGGCAGGGACCCACTTCATTTTAGATATGGCTCCTGAGTTCAACACAAAATTATATCAAGCGCAACACGGCGTAATAATTTGTGTCATCGTTTGCATCCTCCACAGTGACCAGAACCATTAATTTATGTCATGCATTCAAAGAGTGGTCACTGTTGACATTCCACAAAGTGGCACAACTTGTTTAACCATGCCCGAGGGATCATGGCCGGAGTCATGTCCTGACCGGAAATCGAATTCACAACCCCTCGCTATGGAGCTTGACCATGTGCAGTTTTTGTTGTATGTTTTGGATTGTTTTGTTAATGTTTCTTTGGTTGCTTTAGTAACCACGTTTATTTAACCAGGACCCCCCCCCCCCCGCCCTCGAAGAAAAAGAGCATTTCTCACCCAATGGGTTTTACTCGTGCCACAATAAAACCTAAAACCATGGTGCCACGTAAAAAAAAGTGTAAATCACTATTACACTCAAGAAATCATCATCCCCGTATTAAGCGGCTGTGTTGAGTGCACGGACTGCACGTCTACCCAGGCACTCAATTGAATAGCAGTGAGCCCGGGGGCAAAGCTTATAAGGATGCTACGGCCGTCGTCAGAACACCGCTGAGCGTCTCTTAGTCTCATGCTGACAAGGGCACGAGACTCAGCCTTCTCAGCCTGACCCCCTGAGGATTCTAAAAGGCAGGAAAATAATGCCGTTGTCTCTACGCCAGTGGTGGCCTTCGCTAAACCGCCCCCGCTGGCATGAAGATAGCGGAATGCATCCGGCATCCACTTTTCACAATGGTGCTTGTGAATTCCCTCCACACAGCGAAAGCCAGAAAGAAGAAGACAAAAAAAAATGGTGAGGCTATTCCACTCTCGCTTTTGCGGGCCACACGGCGAGTTGGCGGCCCGCTGCAATGCGAGGGAGGGTTACGACTCACATTTAAATGTGCGGGTGGCCGCAGGAGCCAGGCTGTCACAAAATCGGACCCTGCGCAGGGGTATAACTCATCGCCCCTTTGAGGAGGAACACTTTAAATACAAAACTGTCCCTTTATTTTCAAATGTATTTCATGTACTATATTTATTTACTACTTAACTTCCTCATGCTATTCGTTGTGCGTGGTTGCAATTTTCTTTGCTCGGTCAGTGTTCGCCGCTGAGGGCATGATGGGTTTCTTAGTTTATTCCTGTTGCTCTGTGCCCCCCACCCACCGGTACCGTCCCCATTCCATTGTAAGTTGGACCAATGGCCACTTTATTGAGGGCGATATTTGCACGTAAAGTAAAGGCTGACTGACTGATTGATCAAACGAGTGTCACGTTGTCAGAATTGCCTGACCGCAACCATAGCAATTTGGTATTTCCTCAAAGTGATCAAGTGTGTGTGTGTGTGTTTTTTTAGATAATGTGAATTTAAAAATGCAATGATTTTAGCATCAGAGCAGTGACGTCTTGTTAATGTTAAAAATAAAATGTTATGGTAGGGGGCACTGGCAGAGCCAGTGGGGGGGGGGGGGGGTGGGGTGGCACGTGCCCCCCAATGCTCCGATCGAAATCCCTAATTTCGATCGGATCATTTGGATTTATTAGTAATAAATCGGCATTTTGCGACTCCAACTGCCACTGCGTAGCATATTATTACGTGCCAGGGACTCTATGAGATGATAGGACAATAGTCTGAGTCCATAATTGGCAATAAACAACGGCAAAGCAGTTATAAGTGACTCACAGAATTGTGCGCAGAAGCGTATAGAGTCCACGACTTCCCTGAAGGCATTCACCTTCAGCGAGCGCGATGCCGGTCACACCACGCGGTTCTAATTCAACCCTCGATCGATGGCTGCGCAATCGCCGCACACGGGTCGAATAAAAAGCAAGGGACAAGTCCTTACTTACTAACAACTCCTCTATCATTTTTCATTGCTGGAGGGGTTGCCCCCGCTACCTGAAAATCCTGGCTCTGCCATTGGTAGGAGGTTATTTGTGTATATATGGGTGATGAAGCTGAAACCATGAATTCACTACACTCTGGAAACCTTGTTTAAACAAAGGTGGCTCAAACCTGGATTGCAACAACCCCAAGTTATACGCAGTGCTGACTCATTCCTAAGTAACAAACACCCACTTCAACAGAGTTGACATCATTGACAGGGGACTGTAACATATTGAGCGATGTTACCATTATTTCGCCAAGGTTTCTCCCCAGTTTGACAGTAAACCCAGTGTCACCTGATTTTCTGGGCTAGAAATAAAAGTTGCGTGCACACACAACTGGAATATAAAATGCTTTCGGGAACACTGAACTTGTTCATCATACATAAGAGGTTTTTCGGGTTAGATCGTGTGAATATATAAATGTGTCGTTAAACCCGCCACCACTAACTAGTAAGGGTCGTCACGTAAACAGACCAGTGCCAATTCGTCACTAGTACAGCACACCTGGTGTAAATGTTGTGGCTTTGGCTCTCCAACACACAACACCAGTGTGCTGTACTAGTGACGAATTGACACGTTCTGTTCACTTGAAAACCCTTACTAGTTGGCTGTGTCGGGTGGTGGCGGGTTTAACGACACATTTATATATTTACGCGATCTAACCCAAAAAAACACTATTATGGATGATATTGGTCGCGAAAGCCTACGTGTTCACCTGTTTATCATACATCACCAATTGCGTGTCATGCTGCAATAGCGAGGTTAAGCTTGTGATGGTTCTGTACAATGAATTGCAATCCCGGCAAAATCCGAGTTCATTTCCTGAACTGGGTCTGGGCTTCGCCTAGGTTCACTCAACATGAATTAAGTACCAAGGTGCGGTGTTTCGAAATACTAGTCGCCAGAAAACCAAGCCAGACAGGGCACACACGGTGTGCTTGGAACCACACCGAGAGACAGCGTGGAACAGAGAAAATGCATGCAAATCACAGACATCCTATTCAGATTTGAAACATGCAAATCGCAAATTCAATGTGAACTAAAAAGTTAGCAGCTCTGATAGTATGCGCGCTGTGACTCTAAGGGATGAATGATGATGGATACAACTGGGAATGTAATGGCAGACACACAACGTAAGTGGATTCAGCTAGGTGGATGACCACCTCAGAGATGGAGCAGATGAGATCAGTTCATGTACGGTAGTGAGATGGATTGTGGCAAACAGGATCATGAGAGATGGGGGCGGGGGCGGCAGATCTTTATCCAGCAATGCATAGACAACAGGTTGATGACAATAACACGTATGAAGTCACAGAGTCTCTTTGGAAAAAAATAAGTGTGGAAGCGATGGCCATCTCCGTTGGCGACCTTGAGCTATTGTGTGGGCCAAAGACGTGTGTACTCATATGGGATGTATAAACATGCATTAATTGGATGAAAACATCTTCATATATAGAGGACTGCAGAGCTTTGGCAATGTTGGGGCCGGCTCACTGCCTGGCTGCCTTCCAGTTTGTATGCGGTTCCTCAGCGAATGTGAGATGAAATTTGCATGAATTAAATGAAAAAAATCTAAACATTATTATACGGGGTGCAATAAGTGCCTTTTAAAATCAACAGAGTTGGCCTATGGTGAAGAACATTTGGGGGTGCCGCGGTGGCAAGATATTAATGACTTCGCCTGGTATACAAGAGGTCATGTGTTTCATCCCGACCCTTATGCATGTATATTTGGAGTTTGCATGTTCTCCCCTTTGTCGTGTGAATTTTTTTCCAGGTCCTCCGGTTTTTCCTCCACATTTAGAAACATGTGTTTAGAGTATTTGGCTGCTATAAATCTTCATATGATAAGCGACTCCATTGGGCTATCATTTGTGGCCAGGTCCCTTCTGAACAAGAACTATATAGCTCAGTGGGCCTCGCCTGGTAAAATAAAATTATAGTTTTAGTTAAGTTTAATTTGCATCACAAACAGAAGTTTGCTGGAAGGTTCCTGCAGATGATAGGCTGACTAACCCCAACCTTCTTGCAAGGCTACATTTGTGGAAAGCCAACAATGATCAACACCAGTGACAATTATCTGAACTGGTCCTGGGCCTCCCCAAGGTGGACTCAGCCTCAAATGAGTACCTGATGTGGTGTGTAAACATCGCCACTGGGGAGACAAAGGCGGTCGGGCATGGTGTTGGCCACCCACCCCCTCGTATACCATTCCGGCCTTCGTAGGTGCTCGCTAACAGCACTTGCTCCAGCAGTCTGTTAAGGCTGTACGGGGGCTCCTTGTATTTGTCTGTGTTATTGTTCAGAGTGACGGGTTCAGAGTTGCACCAGTTCGCGTGCGACTCGTGTCTCACTGGTATAGATGAGTTGAAAGCCCTGGTCGGTGCCATCTCCGTCGCTGTTAAACTCCAGCCACAGGTGGTTGGAGGTGCTGTTGAGCACCAGGTCCTGCATGCTCATGTCCGCAAAGGCACCCAGCAGCCTGGAGAAGCTGTCATCACCGTCGTACACCTGCACGCACCGTCGGTCACGGCAGCCATGGGGAAAGGGAACAGCAGAAGCACCCTGAGAGTGATTAATCTGAATGGCTGAGCTGAATCACATTCAATATTGTCTCTATGGACACGTTGTTATACTTAGTTTCCCGCACCTCCGATTAACACGGTTGGCTACGTACGGTGTGAAAGAAGTTCAAGTGAAGAAGTTTTCACATTGCACCAGGTGCTCATTTCAGGCTGAGTCGACGTAGGGGAGGCCCAGGACCAGTTCAGATAATTGTCACTGGTGTTGGCCGTGAGTGGGATTGGAACTCATGCTGGTGAGTTTATAGGGCAAAGACGGTCACTGCATTGTGCTTTTTCAGGTGTGCTTCTGCGGCCGTCTGGAACGCTCTTCCTTGCATTATTAGGTAGCCACTGGAACTGTGCACTTTTAAACCACATATATTGAAAAGTAATTTCTTAAAAACAGATTTTTGTGTTTAGTTTGTTGTCATTCCCCCGCACCTCCGATTCGTACGGTTGGCTACGTATGGTGCGAAAAAAGTTCAACATACCATTTGTTTCATCGTATATATGTGAAAGGAGCGTGACCAATGGTATAATGTGTAATCCAGCACTTTGGGGGTCAGGTTAGTGGATAGCTCAAAATAACAACGACGTGTGCACGAGTTAGGAGCATGACAACCCTTCCGTGATCGAATGCACTGTTGTAAATTGAGGTCATTATATAATTGGCCAATCATGATATTTTGAATGACGAAATTAATTAACCCATTCCTTTGTAAACTTTACACGCATAATAACTGAAAATTACCCATCATCAACAATGCAAATGGATGTATTAGAAGCATATTGCGATCATTGATTTAGTTGATTAATTTAATAACAATCATGGCTTAAATTTCGATTTAAAGCTTTCGTGACTGCAGGGATTTATATTATTGGATCTAGCGGTAAAGTCACGTAGAAGGGAAATAATAAAATAAGAAAAATAAAACATCATAAAATTCTCACGACGTTTTGGCCACAACACAAGCCAGTCTGTGACGAGTAGAGAACATAGGTTGTCACCTATCCATATGAATTATTTAGTGCTATCCCGTCTTGTTTCTTAAACACAGCACGTAACGTACAGGAGTAGCATACTTTAAAGCGTGGTCGCTCTTATATCAAGCTTCAGCCACGCACGACTACGGGCATCTTCAGGAGCTTGGATGAGAGGCTTCCCTGAAGACGGGGGAAATGCCCTACGCGTGGCCCGACACCGCACTCGGATTACAAGTGGCTGCGAAACGAGAGCGCGACGAGCGAACGATTTCACCAACGTTGCGAGAGACACACGGCCGCCGACGTCCCGTCACGGCGCGCGCCCGGCGAGGTCGAGGAATCGAACCTTGAGCAGGTCGCCGTGGCTCAGCTTGAAGGTCCTCGCCGTCAGCTGCACCCCGCGCCCAGCGCTCACCTCCACGCTGTACATGCACTCGTGGTGCCGCCCGTAGTGCCGCGGGTAGTTGGGTGACAGCAACACGCCCTCGTTGCCCCGCAGGGCCACCCCACACTCCGCTGTCGTTCGCACACAAAGACAACGTTCCCCCGCTTTAGCCTCTCACGGACAGCTGGGCGCGAGTGCTGTTAGCTAGCTGCGCCTATGAAGGCTGGCACGGTGCACGAGGGGGTGGGTGGCCAACACCACGCCCGGCCGCCTTTGTCTCTCTGGTGGCGAAGTTTAACACGTCGCACCGGGTACTAATTTGAGGCTGAGTCGACCTAGGGGAGGCCCAGAACCGGTTCAGATAATCGTCCATGGTGTTGGTCGTGAGCGGGAATCGAACTCGGGTAGCCGGGTTTGTAGCAGAGCACGCTAACCGCTACACCACCGCTCCCCACACAAACGCATGTACACATGCACTCACAAATCTACCCACCTCTCGCCGCATACATAAACACAGACACACAAAGCATGCACACACAGACCAGTGTATAGGGTAATCGTCTATTCTCTCTAGACAATGGTTAGTTTTTTGCTGTCATGCTTATTAAGCCATTAGCTATTCTTCTACGTAGCTTGTGTTCTATCCAGTGATGCGTGCGTTTACCTTGACGTTGCCTTTGAAGACCGACGCCACAGAACTGCTTCTGGAATCAATTGAATTAGCTTCCCCAACACAAAACCAAGATGGCACCTCTTCACGCAATGTGCCAGGTGTCATCCGCCACCAGATCAACAAGGGCCAACATTGTGTCATCTTCACTTTAGGCCGGCACAATAAAGCCCCGAGATGGTGCGTAAGATCGGTGATGTCATCCTTGCATGCAAACGCATGCTGGGTGGGATTCCTGCTGAGGTTGGTTGTTTTAAGACACCTTCTTACGTACCATGAAGGGTGTCCAGATACGTGTGATCCATTTTTTTTATTATTATTATTATGAGACAGCAGCTTGAACTATAAATAAAGGAATATCTCGCCAACATTTTAACCATGCAGCTCAAACTGCAGTCTAACTGCAATTCTTGAATAAGAGATGATGTTATTTCGGATGCCCTGTAATATAATTTGTTTATGGCATACACACATTTACATAACTGGTAACCCCTTATCAGTGCCTACCTTATTACAGACCAATTCAGACCTTATTGGTCACACCCTGCACCTTTATAAATCTCAGCATTCATCCTACAAAGTCCCATCACAAGGGAGAAACACAGACAAATAGACATTCATTTTGTTTGCCAGTATTGAAACGGTTGTAAACCATATGGACCCGAACACTCAATTTCCCTGTACAAGAATACAGGTAAACCGTACGGGGAGACACGTATGCATTTGTATCTGGCTGTTAGCACGCCTCCTTAGTTCGGATAGAGTGCTCCAATGTTGTGTCTAAGGTATAATTATCCCTTCAATGTTGTGCATAAGGGAAAATTATCACTTCCGACACAACATTGAAGCTAATTATAATTAGACCTCAATGCTGGGCTCAAGAGGATCGGCACGACTGTTTATGTTTTGTTGTGTGTTTAGTCACCGACGGCTACACTTGAGACCCCGGTTTAACCACGGGTTAATTAAAACCAGATACGTGCTCACATTTCAGTGGTTGGACATGGCCACCTGATGAACCAGGCCTCGTCAGAGGTCCAACCCTTCCAGAGCTTCTGATATGTCTGTGCCCGTATCACCATTGTCATGCATATCACTTTTAAGAGACAGTATCATAGACACAGTCACAGTAGCCTTATTTAATAAAATAGCTTGTGAACAGATACTTTAAACCAGTGGAAAATAATACAAGAGCAATCTGGTTCTTGAATCTTTTTGGAAAAAAGAAATGTGAAATGTACTTGTGAATGGCATTAATACGAACTATGAGGTTTGTGCTTATGAAAACAATTCAGAGGCAAACTGTATCTGTGTGAAGAGTGAAACGATCATATGTATCTATTATTGCTATTAAATGTGCTCTGCTCGATAGGAAATTCATAATACGTTTTACAATGTGGTTAAGAAAGGGTAAAATTGTTCAGTTACAAATATATAACTATATTCATGATGTTTAAATGAATTTTAATGTTTAGTGTGAGCGTGCGTGACACCTGCTGTTTCTGTAAAGAGGAAGCATCGTTGTTTTACGTGGTGGTATTATAGTGATCACATTGAATGTGTTATAGTTGGTGTGTGCGTGGTGTTGCAGCTTGTATACCAAAATATGATAAACACATTTCTTTAAAAAAATAAGCTTTGATTGATCCACTGCTGGATGAAAGCTTTCCCACACCACGTCAATCGGTGGGGTTGTTAAACCATAAATCTTGACATAAAGCTTTCGTGACAGCAGGAATTCAAATGTTTTGGGTCTTTCGGTAAAGAAACGTAGATAGGTTCAAATTAATACAAATGAAATAAACAAAAAACACGACGTTTCGATCACAACACAAGCGATCGTCATCAGGAGAAAAGAAAAAAAATCGCTTGTGTTGTGATCGAAACGTGGTGGTTTTTGTTTGTTTTATTTTTATTAATGTGAACCTATCTACGTGACTTTACTGAAAGACCCAAAAAGATTGTTAAACCATACTTCACCACGCTGAACTGGTGGAGATAGAGGAGTGCAAACGGTTCAGATACCAATGCCACCGATATAAGGTCACAGAAGTTGAACTCACGCAGCCATATCTCATCGGCCAGCAAGCTACACCCTGAGAAATAAAGTAGTGCAATTTGGTTAAATAATGTGCAGCTGCAGAGGCATGGGTTCACATGCCGCCAAATATTACTTCTCATGGGAATTCTTCATGGAAATGGACCAAATCTCACTCTCAATAGCCGCTGGGTACGTCACCGAACAGAAAGTGTTCCAGCCAGTAAGATTTGCTCGTGCTGTGTTATGGCCACACCTGCTCTGTTCACGACCATCGTAATATAAGCGTCGTATCCATCGTATCGTACCAATGGCATAATGGCCACTTTCATTCTGACTCCAGTGTTGTCCGGTTGTAGTGTTAAAGCGCACTTGACAATCCTACAATTTTAAGCGGAAGGCTGATGATTAAAAAAAAAAATATTGCCGCTCAAATATATTTTTCAAAAATTTTATACGCTTTGAAAATCGGTCTATGGCAAAAGGGTTTAAAGGGGATTTGGTAAGTATGGTAGAGAACTGCCTCGGAGGACTCTAGTTAGGTTGCTTAACTCGATACTTCTTCACCGCCCTGAGTGGATATCTGTGAAAAATATCTTCATAGCTTTCAGGATTCCTCGAGTAAAAATACATTTTCTTCTTCAAACTCGCAATCATATTGTATAAATTCAAATCTGGATCGGGGGGTTAAGAGCCCATGATCCCTCTTTGGTTAATAGAATGTGTACCTCTTCGTGTGTAGTTCAACACATTACACACAAAGAGATACGCATTACACGGGTAATTCCATGGGGTCAACTCAACCCATTATTTCTCTGGGGTCAATAGAATGTGTACCTCTTCGTGTGTAAGTCTACACAATACACATGGAGAGGTGTGCATTACACGGGTAATGCCATGGGTAGACTTGGCTCCCCCAAACCACCCCCTTGCCCATACACATGTGGAATTTTCACCACAATCTCTGGGCGACCAACACACATGAGTGCAACCCCCCCCCCCCCCCCATCGACCATTTGAGCAGCGGAGCCGTAAAGCCTCTAAACCTGTTCTGGCCATACTATCACCGCATTCTCCAGTGGGTTGAGATGCTCAGGAAAAAGAGGCGCACACCCCCACCCCCCAGCTTTTGTTTTGATTTATAATACGTGTCAAAAAGCGAGTCTTATAATCCGGAGAAATACGGAATACGCGTCGGTATCATGGCTAGCGTCGCGGCACTGGGAGCGGTGTAGCCCCGGAGCGAACTATCGTATGGCAATGTTTTCGCGCGTCAGGAGAGCCTTGCACACGCGCTCTCCCCCCGAACAGCTGTGAGTCGTGCGGGCAAAGGAATGAAGCTGGTGACCACCTACCCACACACCTTGGGAGTGGAGCGCTCCAGACCCTGCGGCTGCCCCCGAGGCACACGAGGCGTGGCGAGCCCTCGAGCCGGTAGCCCGGCGAGCACTCGAAGGCCAGCGCGTCGCCCACCAGGAAGCTGTCGCCCGAGTGGCGGCCGTACGGAGGCATGCCGGGATCGTCGCACGGCTCCAGGTCGTACTCTGATTTTGGTCGTCGGTCACGGTATAAGGAACAAAAAGTCAGGGGGGAGAGGAGGGACGGTCATCGCGATCATTGCCAACAATGCCATTAAAAAACGTGCCTTTCGCGACCGTTGGTTCCTCCTGCCAGAGCATGCAAATGTTGACCTCATCATCACCATCATCTGTCTTTTAGGGTTTCTAATTTGTCATGCTGAGGGTAATCTTCAAGGACCAGCATATCTGACAGCTGCTCTTGAAGGACAAGCATATCTTTGGATCTCACCCTTGTTGCGTCGTTCGCCTGACCTTCTAAGTCTGTTTTGCAATCTCATCACCACCATCCGGCTCGAGGTCTCTTTTGTCATTGGCTTCCAGCTGCGACTCCAAACGCAAAGCCTTCGCGTCCTGTACATGTGAACCCCCATCACTCAACCATATCTGCCTTAATATGCCGACAATGTTTCCCCACTTTGTTCTATTATGTATTTCTAAGTTGTGTAACCTATCACGCCATGAGCTTCCTAGAATTCTCCGCATGCACAACTTAAAATGCTTCCACCAACCCAAGCGCCCTGTGCAGACTACAAAGAATAAGTGGAAATGTTTTATGCAAACTCATACAATTCGCAAGTACAGCAGCAGCACCAAATCTGCAACATTTGGTTTGAACACATTTTTATTACAATTTGTCACTGTTGTAATAGATTTTCTGAAAAACTTTGCTACTAAAAGTTTAAAACTTAATGTTTGTTTTGCAGATTATATTTAATACACATTTTATATTTAGTACTGCGTGCATTTTTTTTTACTTTTCCGCCAATTTGGTTTTAGTTTACACCTAAGTGTTTCACGAATGTTATGGTTTTCTATTTTATCCAGTCACGTAAACCCATTCGCGTGCAATGCTATCCTCGTCGTGGGCACTGTTTGTGCCACGTAAAGAGCGCAGAGCCACGAGCGAGTAAACATGTGCGTATGTAAAAAATGTAAACGTGTTAAGACGACAACGGCGATGATGGAGTTCACAGGTGCGGATGTTCTGTGCGAGGGCACGTGGATTCGATCTGTTTTTCTCCCGCCACCATAAACATTGCTTCGCAATTCACTAGCTTCTTCTTTTCTATCCGATGGGAATACTTTTAATTAACACCCCCACCCCCCAACTCAGAGATTAGTATTTTTTGCTAAACTCTAGTTCTGGAGCAGCCATAATCTACAATGCTTCGGATTTTGAAACACTGCGACTGTGGAATGCTTAAACTTTATATTTGCATACGATAATTATGTTCTGTCTTTGTAGAACCCCTGCCAAGCGAATGTGGAATCCCTACCACAGGCTCAGAAGCCTGGCAATGCGCATTGGTGCATTGCTCCTTAGAGCAGGGAAACACTTTCACCGTATGTATTTTAACCGAGATGTGTACCGGACAGCATTTAATCTTGGACGTGATCAATGTATATATGTATGTATGTTGAACTTCTATCACACCGTACGCAGCCAACTGTGCTCATTGGGTTGACTGCATTCAGTGCTGAGAAAAAAAAACTGATCAATGGGCACCAGCTTATGAATATTATCATCATAGCATTCAATAGGAAGATTATGAGCTTAAATCAATCATCATCGTCCAATGTCCAGCCTCACTTCCCGAAACTCAAACGTCGAGTTGACGCCTGCGGATTCACCGCAGAGGCCTCGAGTGGCAGCAGAGCCACGGCGCTCACCCCGGAAGGTGACGTTGAAGCCCTCGTAGGCCATCGAGAAGTCGGAGACAAAGCGCAGCTGCACACGGGGGTTGCTGGTGTGCAGGCCGGCGCGGAGGGGGGCTGGCAGGCCCGAGCCGGCCAGCCGTGCCACGGGCTGGGAAAAGCTGTCGTTCTCGGTGATGAGCAGGTAGTCGTGCTGGCTCTCCAGGTGGAACGTATGGAAGGTGAACTCCACACCTGCGAGGTACGGGGGAGGGGAAAGGGGGCAGGTGTCGGGGGCCTGCCGTGAGAGACCGCCACCGAACGCCCTATCGTCTGTTCAAACGGGTGTCACTACACGGGAGGCCTCCGTCCAGTGAAGGCCATGCCTCCCCCACCCCCCGCAGCAGAGACATATGCTCATTTGACACAATGAGACACTTTTGATGAAGATGGTGTAATCCTGCCGGGTTGCACTGTGGTTGGAATGCTATGAACAAGGGCCTCTTAATGTTGATCTTTCGCACCATTTATTGGCAGCTGTGCTAATCGGAGGTGCTGGGGAAGGATAAAAAAAAGACAAAAAACAGTTTTAAAGAACTGAGTCTTCAATCTAAATTTAAAAGTGCATTGCTCCAATGGCTTCCTAATATCGGAAGAGCATTCCAGACAGCCGCAGAAGTGCATCAGAAACCCCGCGATGCAGTGACCGTCTTAGTTCGATGGCTAATCAAAAGCCGCTGCGAGGATGACCGGTGTTCGCCTAACGCTTTATGCTCCTTGACGAGATCAGCAAGGTAAAAGGCAGAGTTATTGATTAATGCTTTGAGTTTCTTCACAATTGTAATGTTCCAAGGTAATATCCCGGTCAGGGGTCAACTGTGATCCTCAAATGAATCGCCCTTTGCAGTAAGTCGACGCTGATAATAGCATGGGGGATCCTGCCTTGGGAATGTAGAATAGTCTTGGAGGGACTGACTCAGCCTATCAAATATCCTTGTCCAAAATAATGAAAACCAACATTTTAAAAGTAAATATATGGGTGTCATATGGAAAAGCGGACCTTGCCATGGGAATGTGGAGATTTCACCAATGGTTTAGGATTCATAAGGGAGATATACGCTACCCAATGACTCATCGATTAGGTGTTAAAACTATTTGATGGGATGATATTAACCCATCATTTATGACTCCAAGAGGGCATAATTTCACTCCAGCTCAGCTCTTGATCCTAACCGAGGTGGTAGCGATGTACGCTTACTCAAAAAAACCCTCATCTACAGACACATTTGTCTCCCTCTACGAATGCGTTGATGTTGTGAAACGTACCGCATTGTATGCTGAAAAAGCCTCGACATTATCCTACGCTGAGTTCAAATAACGACTGCCAAATGGGTTTCGCAAGGCAAAAATAATCAATAGAGAAAACCTGCATCGCTGGGATTAGAATGCAGAACAAAATAACCGCTATGCCACTGCTCCCATAAACACACACACTGAGAATGGAGGACTGAATATTGTTAAGCTGTGCAATGCAAGTTTTTTCTTTGCAGTGTGAAGAATAAAAAGGAATTTTGCACATGACACTCACATATTTGGCGATAAAAAGCCCAGCGTGAACAAACAACAGGTGTTGCCAAATGCCAAATCCTTGTCTCTGTTGTCAAGCCAACGTGCTACGCTTTCTATGCTTGCCTTGTGAAAAAGCACTCACTATCCACTAAATTTTCCATCAATATACTGCAGAAAACAATGCAAAACTCAAACCATGTCCTATTTGCTCAACTACTAAACGTTATATAGAGCAAAAAGAGGTGAATATGAAAATCGCAAATGTTAGGGGTAAGTGGACATTATTAGAAGGAAAGATGGTTATGGCCACTCCTGGTCACTCCATGCATACATGGGCCATCTCCTACTTTTGATCCAAATTCAGGTAAATTCCACATTATTACCATGTTGGGAGCCAGGCCATCCATATTCTGACCACTATGAACTTCTTAGAAAGATGTAACCACTTTGTTGAACCTCCAGAAAGATGATTGACAGAGACACCCCTCGGCTGAAATGTGAACTCTCAACCTTTTGTGATCATCTTTGGGAGTCGAGTACTTGCTCAGGTCCAATTACAGCTCCATTTGTTGGACAGGTCAAAATTAATAGGCAAACACTAACGTAAGTTAAGCTTCCTGTACAAATCTCAGTTTTTATATTTGCCAGCTCAGCATTAATAGACGGGCACCAACTTAGTTTACCTTTCCGTACAAATCTAAATTTTTGAGGTTTGTCAGACACATGTGTGAAGCAAGTGAAGGGTTAACTAGATAAGCAAGTGCTGTTAGCGAGCACCTATGAAGGCTGGAACGGTACACGAGGGGGTGGGTAGCCAGCACCACAGTGCCGATGTTTCCACATCACACCAGGTACTCATTTAAGGCCGAGTCGACCTAGGGGAGGCCCTGGATCAGTTCAGATAATCGCCACTGCTGCTGATCGTCAGCGGGAATCAAACTCGGGCCGGCGGGGTTCGTAGAGCAAAGACAGTCTCTGCGTTTAGTTTGTTCACCTTCCCCCGCACCTCCGATGAGCACGGTTGGCAAGATACGTTGCGAAAGAAGTTAAACACACATCATCATCATGGCTTGGCTTCGCGAACGAAGATCTAGGAAGGACATCCACGTCTTCTGCAGGCACGCTGGTGGCTGAAGAGGCCTATGCGGGACAGGCAGGTCCTGCCACAACAGCTGCAAGTGAAGGTCTCATCTGGGATGGGTGCTGAGGGATCACGGTTCTTCCTCCTTCTCCTTTTGTCCTCCATACGGGCCCTGCGGGTATCTTCGAAGAAGGAGGTGGCCTGGTGGACTGTGTGCCGCCAGGAGTTGCGATCAGCTGCTTGTGTTGCCCACTGACGGTGATCGATGCAGCAAGCAGTGAGGGACTTCTTCAGGGAGTCTTTTTAAACACACATACATACAAGTGATCTACCCACAGTACTGCCCAGTGGGGTGAAGTGCGTTACCTTTCCCATGAGACACCTCCACCGTCCATGTGCAGTTGAGAGAATTTTGGTAGAAGTCAGGAAACCTTGGGGACAAAATGGTTCCCTTTGATGCCTGGGTGTAGCCACCACACAGCGCTGAAATTAAACAAACAAAATCATCAGGGTATCACAAACAGCAATATGACATTTAAGCATGGTAGTATATCAGAACTTAAGATCAAGGAATAAATGACACTGATACTGCTATACCATATATATTATGGTGCTTTTTTTCTGGAATATTTTTTTTTGCAGTTTTTTCCTGGATTTTTCTGTTTGCGCATAGTCACTTTAGGATTTCGATTTAAAGCCTTCGTGACTGCAGGGATTCATCTTCTTGGTTCTTTCGGTAAAGTCACGTAGAAGGGAAATAATAAAATATAAAAAATAAAAGATAATAAAATAAAAATTATCACGACGTTTCGGCCACAACACAAGCAGCCGTCCTCAGGTGAAGAAACAGAGCTATCGGAAAGACAGCGTTCCACTTTAAGATGTTTTCTTGTTCATGTTTTTGTTTTTTGTTTGTTGCGGTTGCACCCGATTCAAGAGCCGAATGGCTCACAGGGCTGTACCAAATAAATGAAACTGAAAAAAAAACTGAAACCACCCCATCACGACTTTAAATATTATCACATGTTTCTTTTCACATATGTTGTTTATATTCTGTTGTTGTAACTTGCTGACCTGCCCCGACTGGAGATCTGTGAAACAGAGCTTCGAAGCTCATCAGATTTCTCCAGGATAAATAAAGATTGTGATTCTGTTACGTCTCACAGGTTCTTTTCAACACAGATCTCCCTCGCAATTGGCTCTCACCTCTAAATAACTCGATGTGACGTCTGTTAAATTCCAGCATACACGTTGTTCCATATAAAGCATCAATAAACCGAAACTTTTATTTTATTTACAAAAGCAAGGTTGCTGTCCACCTATTTTAAAGACACGCGGGATTTACAGAGTGCATGGGCCAAGCTGCCATTCAGTGGAAGCTTTGCAAAAAAAATTGTTGCATTAATTTATCAAGCTATTTGTGCTGTGCCGATAGTACACAGCTCACGATGAGAACGCTGCCCGGGATGTTTGACACTTTGTTGTGCTCAGAATAGACTGGCTACTGAGTCACGAATGTGGAAGAAATAACCGTGAGTTTAGGTTCCCTAACAGAGATGAGCACAGTCTCAATGTTCGCCGGTGCATTGAGCAGTGGCGGCTCCTGCAAAATCTCTCAGGGGGGGCAAATGTCTGGATGATTGATAAGGATAAGGTCCACCCATGCAATGGATAAATTAACAGCTTAAGCATGTAAAGGTAACTTCACTTCTTTAATATTAATGAAAAATAAAGTGACTCTTACAATACATCCTGTTTGTTTATATACTCACTATTATTACAATCCACTCAGTTTCTTTAATTAAAGATTCCACTAGGTGGCGACAAATAATATTGTTGACTGAAACGTGTTTACGTATGATGACGTAAGCACGTTAGTACGAGCCCTCCCGGAAGCCATAGAGAATGCATTGGAGCGCCCGTCGTTCGAATAAAATCATCTTTGAATGTAAGTCTATGGGAACACTCTGGGCGATTCTCAGCCAGAGTGAAAAATCCCAAAAAGAGGCGGTACTCCACAGAACGTGACATGACGCTGATTGAACTATATCCAGAGGCACAGTAACGGCTAGCGTGACTCTGTGGTTGAATGACATTGGTGGTGCGTCGCCCAATCGCCCTAATGAAGAAACCGGCCCTGGCATTGAGGCAATCTAAACTAAAACTAAACAATGTCTTATTTCACCAGGTAAGGCCCACTTAGCTATGCAGCTATTTTTCAGAAGCGACCTGGCCACAAATAATATATCAACGAAGTGGCCTATCACGTGTATTGCAGCCAAATACTTTAAACGAATGTTTCTGAATGTGGAGGGGAAAACCGGAGGACCTGGAGAAAAATCCATACGACCACGGTGACTTCATGCAATTTCCAAATATACAGCAGGTGTCTGGGTCGAGATCGAACCCACAACCTCGTGTATACAATGCGAGGTAGTTAACATCTCGCCACCGGGATTGGTGAGATGCCTCACAATCAGGGCAAATTTACTGAGCTGAAATATTAATGACTAACCAGCAGCAAAGCCAGCCTTTATTTTTTGGGAAACGCAACTGAGTATGTCATGGTTCTTAATGAGTTTGTTTGATCTTTAACAACATACACATTACATTCATTTCCAAATGTTCCCACAGAACGCCATTTTTTGTGCAGATTAATTCACTGTGTGTACAATTAAACTATCTGCAAACATTGCAAGGCATTCCTCTGTGTCCAATTATGCTCGAGTGAAATAAAAAAAAAGATGCTACAAGGAATTATTTAAAGTGTTTGTGAATGGTCTGGTGATACGTTCTCTGTGATTTATGATGCCTTGCTATATGGCCCATTCAGGGGAATGACCCAGAAAAAAATATATTTGTTTAATTCCTCACTGACTTTTCCCGACCAAACAACCTGTTGCAACAAATTAACAACTATGTGTGTATATTCATATAATATTAATACATTGGTGGTGCAATACATTATGGGTAACAACAAGTAGAGATTGTTTTCATTGAATGTTTACATTTATAATCAACGATTTTTGGGTTTAGATCGCGTTTATTTATAAATGTGTCGTAACGGCAAAGTTAAGGCCTTTAGAAAGGACAGAAATCATGTCAGTGGTTAAATCAGTGTTAGTCAAGTTCATTACGGTTTTGTTTTCAAATTGTTCGTTTTTAATAGGGATTTGTTTATTGTAAAGTCTAGAAAATTTGTTAATTTGGTTAGCATTTGTTAGATTAAACACATTATCAGCCGATTGTTGTGTTATAGTATCGATTATATTCCAATCATGCATGGACACACTATTGCTTATATTTAAATGTAAATGCTTTAGCGATTCAGAAATGTTGGATAATTCACTCCTGTTGTGTTGTATTCTCTCTATTAATAATAATTCGCTAGCTTTGTGTAGTATTTTGTTAGCCTTAGAAGACTTTATGTGATGTGTTATTTTAACTGCGTTTGGTATTACCTTCGAAACAAAGATATTCAAATCCTAGCAGCTGACAAGGGCCGCACTACAGTAGTGATGTCACGAGCCGATTATGATAATAAAATTAAAGATTTATTAGAGGAAAGTACCTACATTAAAATTAAACGAGATCCAACTAATACTTTGGAACGTAAGACTACTGCATTCATTGCAAATTCATTAATCCCAAAAAATGAGCAATTCCTAATGAAGCCAAGGGCTTCAAAACCACCTAGACTGTATGGGCTACCAAAGATCCATAAAGTCGGCATCCCTTTACGACCTATAGTCAGTACAATTGGCTCTGCCACCTATAAATTAGCAAAATATGTAACTAAACAAATTCAGCCTTACATCGGTAGGACATCATCATTCATAAGAAATTCAGAACATCTTGTGAATATGATCAAAGATATTAAACTTAACCCTAATGATATTTTGGTGAGTTTTGATGTGATTTCGCTATTCACTAAGGTTCCAGTGAGCGAGTCGCTTAAATTACTTGATACACTGGTAAAGAATACAGGTTTACCAAAAGATATTCCGAAACTCGCAGACCATTGTTTAAATAACACTTACTTCTTATGGAGAGGCGAATTCTTTAAACAAAGGGAGGGAGCAGCAATGGGCTCTCCTTTATCTCCTGCTATAGCAAATTTGTACATGGAAAACTTTGAAACCAGAGCACTTGCCTCGAGCACATTAAAACCATCCTTTTGGTTTAGATATGTGGATGACACTTTGGTTGTCTGGCCACATGGTAAAGATACACTTAACGATTTTCTAAATCATCTCAATGCACAAAACCCGGCCATTCAGTTCACCATGGAAATGGAGGTGAATAACACACTCCCGTTCCTGGATATTTTACTTGGGCATGGCCCAAACGGTAAAATAACACACAGCGTTTACAGAAAGCCAACGCACACTGATGCCTATCTGAATGCAGATTCGCATCATCACCCAGCTCAGAAATCCTCTCTTATCAAGACGCTAATACATCGGGCTAAAACAGTGTCAGATGGTGAAAGTCTAGTGAGAGAGATTAAACATGTTAAAGAAGCACTAAGACAGAATGGCTACAATAATGCTCAAATTAACAGAGCACTAAAAGCCAAATCACGATCGCAAAGCAACACTGCTGAAAGCGATCAGATTATTAAAACAATAAAAATACCATTTATCTCAGGAGTGACTGATAAATTAGCCCGTGTTTTGCAAAAGCAAAACATTACAGTAAGATTTGGTACAGTACACAAAATTCAACAACTAGTAACGTGCACTAAAGACGAATTACCTAAATTATCAACAGAAGGTGTATATCGGATTAATTGTGTATGTGGCAGATGCTATATTGGACAGACAGGGCGTAACGTTAGTGTAAGACTAAAAGAACACCAGAGAAATATTAAACTATCACAAACACAACTATCGGCAGTAGCAGAACATGCATGCCAACAGGGACACTCAATTGATTTTGACAACGTGGAAGTGTTGTGTAAAACTAGTTACTACTGGCAAAGACTAATTAGAGAATCGATTGAAATTGAGAGAAACAGAAATAACTTTAATCGCTCAGACAGCTATAGGCTTAGTGCGGCCTGGAAGCGTATTATTAAATAAGATACATTACAATTACTTATAAGGGAAACAACCACTAACTGATTACTAATGTAGCATAATCACAATAAAACACATTCCAAATGATTACTAATCTACAACTCGCATCGTAACAATAGCCTGATTACTAATCTAGTATATAATTACAATCACTCCCCCCTTGAATCTTTGCACCTGATGAGTTAATGATGACGTCACCCTGCTGCTGCTCTATATAAGAACGGGAGACACAGGAGAGCCTCACCATTCTGGCGAATTGCCCGATGATGCTGATTGCAATTACCAGCGAAACGTCGTACTCAAATTGTAAATGTTGTTGCTTCAACACACCGGTGGGCTAAAGCAGTGAACTATTTGTCTTTGTCAACGTGACACATTTTTACTGATTGGCCGTGTCGGGTGGTGGAGGGTTACGACACATTTATAAATAAACGCGATCTAAACCCAAAAATCGTTGATTATGAATAACATTGGTCGCGAAAGCCTACGTGTTAAAATGTTTACATTTATTTAAAAAAAACTGTGGAAACATTACTAGTAATAACGATGAATATGTTGACTATTTTGACAAACGAGGAGTAAAATCCGGTCCAGTGGTACTGTGGCAGAACACACAACTTAGGGTCAGTCACCAAGTATAGCTGTACAGGGGAGGAAATGTCTCTAATCATCATCATCATCATTGGAATAAAGACCTCATTAGAGAACCCAACATCACACATCCGTGGCTCTGACATTCCGCCCTCGAAGACACCGGTGGTGTAACCATCAACCGCATAGAAACATCAACAGGCCGATGCACCAAATCTCCTTCGTGAATGGAGAATTAAAGACACGAGCCAGAGCAGTGCGACTGTGGCATGCAACCCGAAACTACGGGCCGTAGCGTAAACCCACCGTAGTTAGCATCCCTTCAACTGACGAGTATGGTCGAATGCCCCCAAGATCCGCGCGTTGTGGTTAGGTCCTCAAGGCAGCCGTGGATTGACAGAGGATTGTAGTGAATCTTAAAGAAGTGTTTTTTTTGTTGTTTGTGTGAAGTCAACTCATGGGGCGTTCTACGTTCGACAAAGCCTAAGACCAAGCGGGTAAGAAAATCAGTCTTAGAAATTTTGATACCCCAAAGTGTTTTCTGTCCTTGGGAATCGTTTAAATAAATCAGCTGTGGTTGATTTAGTTTGTATTTAACGTACAAGGAAAGGATGGATTTTATTTCTCCAAAAAAATTGAGCCCTTACGAAAATCATTCATGAAGGCGATCATTATTCAAAACCTAGACTCTATTAGTTTAAGTTATGGCTCTGATGTGCTTCACACATGAGTATGTTTTATCATAATTTACATCTGTCATAAATACAATCTACTCAGATTGTGCCTAGAGATTTTTCTGGATAATATCTCTCTCTATACTTGTGCATGCGTTCATGTATGTACACATTTCTCTTATGCATGCATGTATGTGTGCATTAATTTATGTGAGCATACATGGGTTCTTGTGCGTGTGCATGTATGTGCAGAGGCGGTAGTGTCGTTCACTGCGCTTCGAACTCGGTGACCCGAGATCAATTCCCGCCCACGGCCAATACCAGTGACGATTATCTGAACTGGTCCCTGGCCTCCTCTTGGTCGATTTAGCCTCAAATGAGTACCTGGTGCGGTGTGTAAACATCACCACTGGGGAAACAAAGGCGACTGGGCATGGTGCTGGCCACACCACTCCCCCCCCCCCCCCTTCGTGTGCTGTGCCGGCATTCATAGGCCCTCGCTATGAAGGCTATACGGATAATCTTTATCTTTTGGCGATTATGTATGAAAACACTGTAGATTTCATTGCCAATTATTACTGCCGTGCAAAAAAGACTAAACCAGCCATTAATGTCACATACATCTCACTAATGGATGGGCGAGCAGATTCCGGAGTCATCGTTGTCTGGCTAAAGTGGTAAAATTGCTCAATGCTCAAAGCTGATGAAAGTGGACACGCATTTGTCACTTAAAATGTGTCATTTGTTTTTTTTTACTTACGAGAGGAATTCATCTATGAGCAAAAGAAGCACACGTTAAATATAATGACCACGATCATACGAGTGATTGAAAATAATAATACACTTTGAAGCGCATTCATATTACAATCATTCTAAACAATTCACAGCCGTTTCATTTATACACCGATGTAACCATATTGTACCGCAGGTGTTATCTTACAAGAACTCCCTCGCTTTATTAACAATGCGATAACTTTTTGAAGCACCAGCATTGATTTATTTGAGGGTTTCATGCCCACAAGGGCCTGTGGAATTACAAACCCACTTACGGATACCCTGAGGAAGCATATGGAAGTCGCTTTCCCGGCACGCTCACACAAGCAATGGGAAATGCTCATTGACATTGGTGGCTCGAAACCATTGGCGGAAATTCCACATTGCCCATGCAGGGGCCAATGTCTCCATGACAAAGCCACTCCTGGCGTCTCACGCACATGAACGTGTAAATTTTTTGGTGCCATTCTTTGACACAGAGTGGCAATGGAAATAGTATGGCCACCACGATGATATTATTTGAAATGGGCGCCACGGTGGCGGGATGTTAACTACTTCGGCTCGTATACAGGAGGTCGTGGATTCGACCCCTACCCTGACACCTGTGAATTTGAAATTTTGACGTCTCTCCCCGTGGTCCCTTGGATTTTTCACCGGCCCTTCCGATTTTTCCGTCCACATTTAGAAACATGCGTTTAGAGTGGAAATAGAGCTATATAGCTCAGAGGGCCTTACTTGGTTAAATAAAAATAGTAGTTTAGTTCATTCCATTATTAACATAATCATAGGACGGTAAGCATGATGTTCGACAGACAATGGTCAATCCACTTCTGGATGAAAGCCTCCCCCAAGCGTAGCCCACGCCGCCACCATCTCTCACACTCCCACGATGCTGAAATCCACCCTTGCACCGGCACGCAAACTGATTCCATCGCTCCATCTCCTCTGTGGACGTGCTTTGGATGCGTCCCAGCCCTTGGTGGTCACTCCATTAGTATTCTTTACCACCGTCCATCGTTCCTTTGAGCGACGTGTCCGACCCAAGCCCGAGGCACTACCCTGAAGAGGTCGGATGATGCCAATGACCTACGCATGCTTAAACATCCGCGCGTTCCTCTTCTTAGCTATCAACGTGATTCCAAGCACACATCTTTCCATGCCTCATTGCGAACGTTTAAGTTGTTGTCCGATATTTTTTTTTCGTTCAGAATAATATTATTTCGGTATATGAAAGCAAATAAATTCATGACAGAGATACATCTTTGAACATCCGCATCATGCAAACGCAACAAGCGTTACATTGATTCATAATTCGTTCCTTTTGGGTTTTATCGTGTCAGTATAATGTGAAAAAATAAAGTAAGAACCCAAAGCAGGAAGTTCGTTCACGTTAGAGCCGAGCTTTAGTTAACACCTGATGATGCTGGCTATAATCTCCAGCGAAACGTTGTACATAAACGTATTAAGACCTTGGGTGCCTTTCAACATCCTGGTTTGCTGCTGATACACCAAATCAATTTGCATATTTCTCCACGTGACAACTTGATTCGATTGGCTGCCGGGTGGCGAAGCGTTATCGTTAAGAAATTGACATTCGTACTTACACGACGATCAAACCCAACACACGGAACTAATGACGAATCGCAACATTGGTGGCGAAAGCCAACCTATGTGTCAGGTTTGGATTGTTGGTCAGCCTTAACTCCAAGACTTCCATTGCTTTACACCAACATAATCTGTTTAATGTGGTATTTGTTTTCCGAGACATTCAATTGGACCACTTTATTTTTGTGAGTGCATGTTTATGCTTTTTTTGGTTTTGACGTGGTGTTTCGGGTGATAACTAATTTCGGATTCGCTTCTGTGGCCGTCTGGAACGCTCTTCCGATATTAGGAAGCCACTGGAGCTATGAACTTTTAAATCAAGAGTGACATTTAATTTCTCTAAAACTGCTTTTTGTGTTTAGTTTGTTGACTCCCGCCCCCGCCCGTGCCTCCGATTAGCATGGTTATCGACGTACGGTGGGAAAGAAGTGTCAACATACACACAAAGACATACATCCCTTCGCATGGCTTTCCCCCCCCCGCTGGCTCTGCTCACCTTCGCAGAGCGGCAACGGGTGGGTCCACTGGTTGTTCTCCTCGCAGGTGAGGGGCTCCCCCTGGCTCAGCGTGTAGCCCGGCTCACACTCGATCTCCACCGAGGCCCCCACCGAGAAGTTGTCGCCGTGACGCGAGCCGCTCACGGGAACTCCGGGGTCCGGGCACGAGTGAGAGTCCCAGGTCACACCTGCGACAGAGGACAAAGATTCCGCCCCCCACACATGTAGCCTTAACAGACTGTTGGGGCGATTTGCTGTTAAGCAAGTGGCGCCTATGAAGGCCGGTACAGCACGAGGTGGGTCGACCGGCACAACAACAACAACAGCCGTCGCTGCCACTCACCACTAAGTGGCGGTCACATCACCACAGCACTCGTGCCGCCAGGCTTCAGTGCACGTTGCGGCCACGGGAAGTGTGGAAGGCTTACTGGCAGGTCATGGGAAATACCCAGGTGTTATTAGTTGAGTGGCCAGCACAGTCACTCACTCACACATGCACCTGGGTGCACATAGACACGCCCCACTACGGTTTACTTCTCCAAATGCAACTGCAAAAACCACAGGCTTAACAGACTGTTGGGGCGACTGTTGTTAGTGAGCACCTATGAAGTGTGGCACGGCACACGAGGGGGTGGATGGCCAGCACTATGCCCGACTGCCTTATTCTCCCCAGTGGCGATGTTTATACACCACACCAGGTCCTCATTTGAGGCTGAGTCGACCTAGGGGAGGCCCAGGACCGGTTCAGATATTCCCCATTGGTGTTGTTGGCCGTGAGCAGGAATCGAACCCGCATCACTGGGTTCTTAGCGCTGTGTGCTGACCGCTAAGCTACCACTGCCACAGCCACTCACCCACGCATGCGACTGCTGTTGCTGCTCCTTTAATGGTCATGCATAGGCTGAGTAAACATAATAATGGATATGTCCTCATCGACAGCAAAATTATATACAGCCCAAAAGTGGCGCATGGTCAGTTATGGACAATCCACATTCTTATAGCAGGGACTGGTCTAGGATAAGGACAACAATTGTTAACTTCCCGCCAAGATTTGATATGATTCCAGAAGAATGATGATTATAATTATGCTCATAATACTTCTGTTTCTGCGACTTATGATAGATGATTACTGCTGAAGCCGATTGCTGTTGTTGTTGTTGATCATAATAACGATACGCTTGATGTGGATGCTGCTGTTGTTGTTGATCATGATAGGTTTGATGTGGATGCTGTTGTTGTTGCTATTGCTGCTCCTGCTGATTATTGATGATGCCGATTATAAGGATCCTGCTCATGAACAATTGGCAAAACACGATATCACGCAGTAAGATTCTTATCTAGTCGGGACAGGATGTCAATGTGTTATTTATGCAATGGACAAAGGACGATAACATTATACATCAGCTCGTGTAGTTGTACACTTGGGACAGCCACCTCGAATACCGTTCATCCGGTCAGTGGTGGCTATCCATGTGGCCTGCACTCCAGCACTGTCGAAGCGATTCGCGTACATTTGTTGTGCTTTTTTCAAACTCAAACAATACATATTTGAATAGGGTCAGATTGGAATACGGAACCTCGGCTGAAATTTGTATTGCATTGGAATTGGCTCGAAGCCCATCGAATGTAGCACGCGAGTTGCAGACATCACATTCGGCCCTGAGACAAGAGCCGTTGTATCCTCCCTCTTTTTTTTTTACGAAAATGCTTCTGAAAAGATGAATAATGGCGAGAGCGCACTTACATTAGATAGCTATCGGATTCCCCTGCCAAAGGGAGCCTTGCAATGTACGCACAACGGCACGGCCTCTGTGCCCCGTGGCAATGCACTTTGGCGGGCAGCATTAAAAACCCGAGCGTTTTTTTATTTATTGGCACCAAGTCACCTGCCACCAGATGCCCGAAAATGAGATAATTTGCACGCGATGCAAATGAACACGTGCGAGTGTTTTTAATGAGTATGCTTTGCACGTATAGATTTAAAATATATATATATATTAAGAGGCATTCACTGCGTCCCTCTCAATAAAGAATCGTCAAACCATTAAAAGCAACGACCAAAAAGAGGCATTCACTCACGCGATCGGTGCAGCATGCACGGTATACAATAGAGATAAGCGGTAGTGCAGCACAACGTTGGGGTGGTGAGCGTGCCACACTACGAAGCTGGCTCCCTGTCTTCAATTTTGCGGCCATGGCTAAAATCGATGGTGAGCAATATCTCATCCGGTTCTGTGGTCCTTCTCCTTCGTCTAATCGGCACTGGCCAATTGTAGTGAAGTGTGGTCAAACAATGCCCATTGGGTGGGCCTTCATCCAGCAGTGAATTAAAGGGATGTGAATTTTTACAGTGGTACCCCGGAGATCGAACTTAATTCGTTCCAGAAGGCCATTCGAACACCTATACGTTCGAACACCGAATTAATTTTCCTCATAAGAATGAATGTAAATGACATTAATTAGTTCCAGATACAAGCAATTATCTCATTATAAAGCATTTTTACACAAAGTTTACAGTAATTACATGCATAAAATCATACAAAAAACAAGAAACGCAATAAATAAATGGAATAAATGAATTAATATATGGAATAAATGAAATAAAAGAACATTGAACTTCACTTTAGCTGTAGTAAGGAGAGTTGATGGCTTGAGTGGAAGGTGGTGAGGAGGAGGAGGTGGTAAAACCTTTGTCTGGGCAAGCGTCATGCACGCTGGCCATACGCGTCTCAGCCGTACAGGTTCTTTCAAGTTGTGATTGACCGTTCGACCTCCGCATTTCGTTCGGTTTCCAGGGCAAAAAATGTTCGGAAATATCGTTCGAACACCGGTGCATTCGATCTCCGAGGTTCTACTTTATTTGTATTTATATGTACACCACTGTTTACTATACTTGGAATTTTATATTTTTTATTTAAAACAGGTGAGCAGGCACAGACAACAGTCAAATCACAATTGAGGGTCACCTTGGCACATCATCCGTGTCGGGTCAATAAAATTGGTACCACGTTATTGTCTCCTGTGAACAAAATGGCTTGTCATACCATCTAAAGCTCATTTGAACAACTATGCACTTTGAATTGACTCATTTTCGTTGTTATTTTTGAAGTCAGACTTTTTAAACGAAAAAATGATTTTTTTTTACGGGTAAAAAAACATAATGAAGAATTTAAGTGGCATTCCAAATAAAAAAATATTTCAGATTTTGTCTCTCGAATGCTTAAGCCATCCAATTTTTTTGGTCTGGATGCTCCATTATCCGGAGGTGTTATTAACTCGAGCAATGTGTTTTTTGGGATGGAAAAATGTGAGTTAAAATAAAAATATATGCGATTCTGCTAATTGAGTAAAACAACACGAGGGACTGAAATATATTTCCTTTTAACTCTTCAAGCTAAGAAAACCCATTCATTTTCAAACGCACATTTGAATTCAGTTGAAGGTCTAAAATCACCATTGGAACCTCATTTGCCAGTAAAAAATATGATAATTGTTTTTTTACCCTTCTATCTGGCAACAAAACTGACACCTTTTTCTTTTACAAGGAGTCATGTTTGCATAGACCACAATACCTGCAGTCATAATGCAAACAAAAAACATAACTCTGATAATGTATGCACTGTCATTGAAGTTGCATTATGACTGCAGGTATTGTGGTCTATGCAAACATGACTCCTTGTAAAAAAAGGTGTCAGTTTCGTTGCCAGATAGAAGGGTAAAAAAAACAAATATCGGTCTAAAATCAATCAACTATTAAGATGAGGATGTGTTTATAAGTTGCTCAGACATCAGAGGAACTGAAACATGGGTTCGAATCCAGATAACCAAGTGTGATTCAATCTGATTCACAAGTGTCGCTCAGTACAAGTCATGGTTTCAGTCCTGACTGTAAGCATAACAACAACAACAGCAAGCGCCATTCACCACTAAGTGGTGATGCCGTTGCGATGGCGCTTGTGTCACACTAGGTGCATTTTGAGGCCATGTAAAGTGTCGAAGGCCCACTGGCAAAAGGTATTGTGTTGAACGTCTTTTGCACCGTATGTAGCTAACCGCGCTAATCGGATGTCACGGAACAGACCCAGGTGCTATGGGTTGGCTGACTAACATGACTGGCAGATGCACCAACTCTGCTCCTCACTGTGACAACTGTTTTCATTTTAGCCGCCCGGCACTCCGCTCGCTGTTGTGAGCATCGCTCCTATGCCCTCCGTTGTTGTTGTAGGGTGACTGTCTCCAACTCCCGCAGCAGCTTCCTCCACAGAGGCCAATCTTGACACTGCTGCTACCAGTCATTGGCAAGTCCAATCTTTCAAAAAATCTATGAGTTCCACCCACAATTCAGCCTGGTTTAAACCCAGAATGGATCTTAGACAGGCGAGCCTGAATGTTGCAAACCGGCGCAACTGTTCCTTAATATAGTGCTCCACGTCTCACGAGCATAGAGATCGGGGGGTATAACTGTGGCCGAGAAGATCCAGAGCTTTGTATGGTCGTCTGGGTCATATCGTAGCGGGCTGACCGCTACACTACCACTCCTCTGCCTTTATTAGAAACAAAACAAAGACGCAGATCCCCCCATATAGCCTGAACAGACTGTTGGGGCAATTGTTGTTAGCAATCACCTATGAAGGCAGGCATGGCACACGTGGGAGTGGGTGGCCAGCACCACGCTAGACCGTCTTTGTCTGCCAAGTGGCGATGTTTACACACCGCGCCAAGTACTCATTTGAGGCTGAGTCGACCTAGGGGAAGCCCATGACTGGTTCAGATAATCGTCACTGGTGTTGGCCGCGAGCAGGAATTGAACTCAGGTCGCCGGTTTCGTAGTGCAGCGCTAACCGCTACACTATCGCTCCCAACATATATATACACGCACGCGCACAAACATTCCATTTGCTTTCGAGGTTAATTTGGCTGAATACCAGCTGTGAGCATTTTCAAAAGGGCCACTTAAAGCATTTTTCATAAGTTCTGTGAGGGAAAAAAATATATAAAAACTGAATAAATTCTCTGACACGCAATGTGCAACGCTGTGCACGATTTCCCATAATGAACGCTTCATCTCATAACAGTATGCCTGCAGCGCATAATTGGAATGCATTCAGATGAAAAAAGACCAATATATATAATCTTAAATCACTTAGTCCTGTAACCTCTTGACGGCGTTTTTTTTCGTTGCTTCGACTGAGAACATATTTGTCAATATTTCATTATTATCAATGCAAGCAGAAGCTCCTGCGGCCATGACGAAAATTAGTGGATTTGATCAGGGATGTGCGGTCAGGGGAGGCAGCGGAGGCAGAGCCTCACCTGTCATACACCAATGAAAATTATAAAATATTTAGATTTTTCCACTGATATGTGTTCTAAATGACATTTCTATATGCTTCCAATACTTTTTATAGTCAAAATATGTCACCATTGTAATTATTACATTGGTGACATACAGAGAGATAGTAACAGGCACACGCATATTGCCCGCGCTACATCCAGTTTCTGAGGGGTTACGCAATCAGAGGGGAGGCTGAGCTCGCAGCTGCCTCCTCGCCTCTCGTCTCTCCCTGCAATTGCAGCGCAAATTTGGCGATTTTGACGAATCATACATTAATGACATTTATATCACGGATCAGTGGGAAAATATTAATATTTTTCTTATTTTAGAATTTTTTATTTTTCGTAACAGATATTTTTATTGGAGTATGACAGTTGAGGCTCTGCCTCCCCTGCCTCCCCTAACCGCACGTACATGGATTTGATGTACTCTGGATAATTATCAGAGTAATCCTTTAGGATTGTATTATGAAATACATCCGAGTGGTATTGATTTAACTACAACGATATCAGTAAAATACTGTGATGAGGAGACGTTAAAATGCATATAAAAGATATGTAAAACTGCGTCCATATATTTGTTCATAAGTAGCAGCTTAGCTCTGAATATTTTATGAGCAGCATGTGACTTAAATGTAACAGTGTTGCAAGACATAACGTGTGTTAAAAACCGCTCAAACAAGGAATAATTAACATGTTAATGGAAATAAGTTGCGCGGAAAAGAATTTCCATTTACATTAATTCTCATTTGCATTATTTCAGGCTTTTTGCTTCTTCATAGATATCATGCTGAGTCTCGCCGCTGCAATCCACCAATGTAACAATTGACATCTCCCACTTCAGATCCTTCAATAGGTCATTCCATTATACTGGTAGGAACCTCCTGGTTCCACCAACCCACAGGGGATTATTGTGTCTGTCCGTCTGTCGTACAGGGAGGGGCTGGGTGGGGAGGGAGGGGCTGGGTGGGGAGGGGCTGGGTGGGGAGGGTGGGGCTGGGTGGGGGGTGGGGAGGGGCTGGTCACCCCGTGGTGCCCTTATAAAACTCAACGTTTAACCTACTCACGCCGGCTTGTGCCCGCCCTCACAGTCGTGCATATTTGCGAAATACACCACGCCGCCGTTGACCCTGGCCATTGACCGAGCAACCCAGAGTTCCTACCAGCTCCCTCCGCAGGAATGTGTTTATTGTGAGCAATTTATGCCTATATTGTACACCACGTCGTAAGCTAGCTTAACTGTGAGGCCTTGCAACTATTGCCATGGCACCAAGCAGCTGCACCTCGCCAAACAAAAAAAAAATTCACTGCCACGAATAGCATTTTACAAAAAAAAACTGACGTTTAAAATTCCACACAGCAATGAGTGCCTGGCTGGGTGGGTTCAGAGGTCATTGTGCTGGGCTGGCACTGCTGAGATCCTAAGATCGTATCCATGCAGCCACCCGCGATTAAACTGCCTTCTCTTAAGTTCAACACGTATTATGGCTTCTCAAATCTAATTTATATTTATAGAGCACCTTCGCTCAAGGCGCTGGGCATAGCTTACAAAATGGTGACCGAATGGAATGATGCAGATGGCACAGAACATACACACAGGGATTGAGAAATTAGTGACAGCGACAGAGGGGTTCCTTCGGGATCACGGAAGGGGCAGGCGAGGGATTGGAAGGAGTGGAGGGGTGAGGGAAGAGGAAGAGAATAGCTGAAGGAGAAGACGTGAGGCTTTAAGACAGGAAAGGAAAGGAGGTGAAAGAGTGGGACTGCTTAATGTACAAGGGTAGTGTAGCGAATTGATTATGTCCATCGTACAACTACTATTTTTATTTTACCAGGTAAGGCCCACTGAGCCATTAGCTTATTTTTCAGAAGCAACCTGGTCACAAATGATAGTTCAACGAAGTAGTTTATCATGTGGAAATTTACAGGAGCCAAATATTCTCAACACATGTTCATAAATGTGGAGGGGAAAACCGGAAAACTCGGAGAAAAATCCACCCGACCACCGGGAGAACATGCAAACTCCAAATACACAGTATGCGTCAGGGTCGGAATCGAACCCAATGAAGTGGCTTGCCGCGTGGGAAATCTACAGCGCATCACCAACGGGCTATTTTTTTTTATTGCGAGCGACGTTTTGTGGGAGAGCGAGGTCGGTGCGAGCAACCCAGAGGGACTCACGCTCGTAGCGGAGCTGGAAGCCCACATTGGAGTGGCTGCCGTCGGTGGTGAACAGCAGGTAGAGGTAGTTGGCACTGCTGACCAAGAAGGGCGGCACCTGGGTGCCGTGGAACACGCCGAGCAGAGGCGCCACCGCCGACACGCCGTCGTGCACCGCCAGCATGTCGTAGTTGAGCTCCGTCTGGAACCTGATCCGCCATCGCCACCCCCACCACCACAGGCAACGGGGAAGACGATCGCGTTAACGGAATGAGCCAATTGTAACAAACAAACAAAACACTATCGCGAGCAGTTAAGGTCTCAAGAGGTTGCCGCCGCCATTGTTTGTTGATGCCATCAAACGTCACCATCACCTCCTCCCTTTGGCCAAACCCTGTAACTGTTGCACAGCTGATGCCGACCTAATCTTCATATGTTGTTACAGTCGCGTTACCATTTACTGGACCTTGCTTCCAAGCCATCTCCTTGTTGTGGGGTCAGCTCCCAGATAGATCTAGGAGCATCCAAACTCCTAGATCTGTTCTCAGTCTCACAATCACAATGCGGCTTTTAGGTATTCCCCGCGTACACAGGTGACAACCACACCCCCATGTTCAGCTCTCATGGTGCATTGCTGCCACCATCTGGTTCCATGTCTTTCCCTTTCATTGCGAGCCTCCCCGTACCATAATATCTGCCTCAGCAGGCCGTGCTCTTCTCCACCCTGCACACATGTCCTGCTCACGACGATATTGCCTTCGTGTTTATAAATACAATGCTTCCCATCGTGGTCTAGTACGATTTTCCAAATTGTTAACCCCATTCTGCCATTACATTTTTTGCACCCCCCAATACAGGTGCACTCAAAGGTAAGACAAGGACCAGTAAGCGCTGGGTACGCACTTCAATACTGGTCTTGGTAACCTGCCCTTTTCCACCCTGTCATGTGCCATTCCAAACGTCTAACTTTAATGATGAAGGGGCCATTTCCAGCCTTGCGAAATGTCGTTTTCATCAAACACAACTACCGGGCACCGCATGGAGGAAAATCCGACCCACCACCTTGTCTTGAGCCTGCCGTACGTGGCCCACAGACCCACAACAAAACGGACTAGAACTCCCCGCAATAACCTTCTCTTCTGGGCAGCAAAGTGTCGAGAGAGTGCTATTCTCAATACTCCCCATGCTGGAGGCCTTTCAACAAGATTTACGGAGGAAAACGAATGCGTGCATCAATACCGGGGACGCTGCCTTGCTCGAGTTAGAGATGGATAAGGCCCACTGGAGGGACCTGGGGATCCGTCCGTGCCCGTAACTTCACGCGCCGACACCAGCCACCCCATGCACGGACTGCTTGACTGACCGTTAGCGGTGATAAATCTTCAGTCTGACTGCTCGCGTTTGGCTTTCTCCGGCACGGCTGTATAATGTCTGTGCTACCCACAATGCGTATCCTATCATCACCGGCCGAGCCACGAAGAGCACAGAGAAAACAACCTGTCACGCACTGTCCTTGGCGTCAAGCGAGGCCACATGGCTTCGCCTGATGCCAAGGACCTAACTCACTGCCAGAGGTTCTGAAGTTAAACACTGGCCTGGGCTCAACTCAGTTGAACTCATTTCTCATTGATAACAACAACAAAAATACTACTTTGTGGGAAATCAAAAACGTTCGTGCAATGGAGATACTGACCCCTGCCATATAATCATGAAATTAATTTAAATTTACAAGGTAAGGCCCACTGAGTGATACAGATGTGTTTCAGAAGTAATCCGGCCACAAATGATAGCTAAACGAAGTGGCTTATCACGTGTAAGTTTATAGCAGCAGCCAAACGCTCTAAACGCATGTTTTTAAATGTGGAGGAAAACATCGGAGGACCCAGAGAAAAATCTACGCAACCACAAGGAGAACATGCAAACTCCAAAGATACAGGCTTTAGGATCAGGATACCATGCGAGGTAGTTAACATCGCGTCACCACTATATGACTACAGCATTTCCACAGCACTGTTCGTCCTGACAATGGAGATGACAACACAATATTAATTTTAGCACGATGACAATAGTAACTTTTTATCATCATCTTCAGCCATTGTCTATCTACTCCTAGACGAAGGCCTCCCCACACCGTAGCCAATCCGGTACATGAACCGGGGAGCCCAGGGACCGGTTCGGGACGTCAGTCACGACTGATGTTAGCCATGGCCAGGAACCGAACTTATTTTGTCGGCTTCAGAGTGCTCCCTCCTCCGGTGCTGTTCGTGAGCACCTATTAAGGTCAGCATCCCACACAAGTGGCAGATTGGACTATGCCACGAACGCCCAGCTGACGTTATTTCCCCACTGTTGGCGTTGACCGTACGCTCCAGCAGGGAAACACTTTGAGGCCGAGTCAAGCTGAGGGATGATTCAGAGGACACCGTCACCATTTGGCGTTACCGATAATTTAGCATGGGTTGTTTTGGGGCCAGGGTAAAGTGTGCTCATCACCGCGAAAATACATGTTTAAAAAAGAGTACATCCAAATGTGTCTTCATGTACATGGCACATAGCCACATGTACATGCTAGGTATATACCCGCGTGTATGTGTGTGTGTATATGACATGCTGCTCACATTGGGGCAGCGGTAGTGTTGTGGTGAGTGCACTGCGCAACAAACGTGGCAACTCAAGTTCGATTCCTGCCGACGACCAATAACAGTGGGGAATTTCTGAACCTGACCTGAGCCTACCCGAAGTCAACTCATCCAAAGGTAGCTGGGCGAAGTGTTGGCCATCCATCTTCATTGGTGCTCGCTAACAGCACTTACGCCAACAGTCTGTTCAATTCCACATGGGGGAAACTTGTCTTTGTGTGCTGTACACATGAACATTAAATTGAATCACAACGGGTGACACTGATGAAAACGTAGTGGATGCCGTTCCATACCGTCTCCCCTGTGCATTACAGAGAGTGGCGATAGGCAGCCGAGTGATATTTAACTTCTACTGCAAATAGCAGGTGGATCACATTCACTGGCCTGATATAAAGTGGTTCGAGTGAAATAACTTGAAGATATCGATCAGCAAGTGGCTTCAACCATCAGGTGATGCTGACATTTTCTTGCAATACTACCTAACAACGCAAATAGCCACACACTGTGCGTCCATGCAGTGAGCCACTCAGCAGTGTATATATATGTGTGTATGTATGTAGGGGGAGTGGTAGTGTCGCAGTTAGCGTGCTGCACTTTGAACCCGGTAACCTCAGTTCGATTCCCGCTCAGGGGCAACACGAGTGACGACGATCTGAACCGGTCCTGGGCCTCCCCTAGGTACCTGGTGCAGTGGGTGAAAGATCGCCACGACCGAGACAAAGGCAGTCGGGTGGCTTGGTGGCCACCCACCCCCAGTCTTAATCGGCGCTCCCTAACGGCACTTGCCCCGGCAGTCTGTTAAGGCTATACAGGGAATCTCTGTCTTTGTCTCTGTGTATATGTACCGCCATTTTGTCAATCTACTGTCGGATGATTGGCTTCCCCACACCAAGCAGATCGCGGAAGTTATTTAACCTGCATGTTGTAGCAGATGGGAAGCATAGACGTGGGGTGGCATAGTTCAGTACAATTTATCTGCTGCCCATGATGTAGCCACACAGCGTCTGATGACATCTCTCTTTTGCGTGGTGGTCACCCAACCAAGCACTATACAGGCTCAAATCTGCCGAGATTGATGGAGTCACAAGATATTAGAGCAATATATGATTATTGCAATGGCATGAGACATAGATACCGAGGCTGACATGGGAATATTACATTTCCACATTGAGCTTGTGGTGGAAACTCCGTTTTCGTACGCAGGTGACCCATCTCTTCCTGCAGGGTGGCACTCGAACAATCCCAGCCATAATGATTTCGACCCCGAAATATGGACGGGCTGGCTGGGTAGTTCCTCGGCTGTGATTTGAACTTATAGCCTTTGCGATGCTAGGTTGAGTGTTGTAGCCACATCATCAAAGCGGACTTACATTATAACATCAACATGCCCAATTACACAGTGAAGCTCCGCTTATCTGTGTTGACGCAGTACCCTTTCATGTGTGTAAATAACTCCAGATATCCGAGGAGTTATCTGTTGATAAACAATGGATAAACAGGGTGCATTTGCCATCACTTCCTGGTGTAGAGTTGGGACCTGTCCAGGGTTTTGACCGGTATTTCTGCATTGAACTTTGTAAGGGTAATCTGCACACTTTTGATACTTAACCTTGGCTGACTGAAAAATATGTCTGGTTTTGTTTCACTGTGCAAGAGGTGGCAACCCTATCCTGGTGGGCCTTCTTTTCTGTAAAAAGCTACGGATAATTGCATAAATGTAATGCATTGGGTGACTGTTATCTGAGCAATTGTGCAGATATTCGGAAAAATATCACGAGTTTGAATAACACTGGTCAACAAACTTTTTCTGGCATAAGATATTACAACGGTTTTAATGTAATTTTGGGGAGCTGATTCCAAATCTGGCATCAGTTTTTGTCTATCACATCATGTTTTTGAGACATCAAATATTGCATTTTCAATAAAAACTGCAGAAGAAAAATATTAAATAAATGTGGATATCTACATAAAATTATATTATAAACATACTATCCTAAAAATATAGCACCATATTTTAACACTAAAGCAGTCACTGACTCGCAACAACTTGCAATCATAAGTGACAGAGTTAATTTCGGGTAAAATCAATGAAAATGGGATATGCCGATAGCATAAAAATGACGTGATAGAGCAAATCTGAGATCAGATTTGGAATCAGCACCCTGAAATTAGTCTAAAACAGCTGCAAAAGTCCAGGCCAGAATTTTTTTTTGTTGACCAGTGTAATAAGAGAAGTGGGTAAGTGGGCCACATATAACAGGCGACTTCACATTACATTTTCAGTCCGTATAATACCACATGTGAATTTAAAACTATGGCTATATAAAAATGGTATGATGGTTTTTTTTTTTCCGAAACAGTGCCCCTAGTATTTCTCATCTTCGACTTGTGGCAAGTCCTGTACCGTTCATAGACACATAAACAGTTATGTGCACTTGTGGAAGCTTAATCCATCCAAATGCCCGCTTTTAATAAAATGTACACAGCGTCAATTTACTCGGCGCTCATAAACATGCAATTAATAATTCAGCTATTTCATTACTGGGAGGTGGAGATTCTGTACAGACACA